TAACTAAAACTAGAATGCAATAAAAGATATAACTTTGACAAAGAAGATAAAGGAGAACTCATGGGTATAGGGAATTTGACCTTGGGTGATCAAGTTTCGATCTAAGGATGGCAAGCGATCAATTAAACTGTCTACCTTAGGCCTAGATACGATTCTAAACAAGCTCTATGTCTAGATGAATGTTCATTTACTACCATAAGTCAAGCATCAAATGTCTTTGGTTGAATATTATGAAAGTAATCATTAGGAATAAATCTATTAGCCATCTTAACACCTTTAACAACAAGTGTCCCTAGTAAAGACTGTTAAAAGCTTAAGAGAATTGACTCAGACATTTCATCGAACACTTTGTGAGTGGGAAATGTCTAGAGATCAACTTTTGAGTGATCAATTCAAAAGAGGCATTATGGTTACTCTAATAAACAAGGAACAAGAGAAATCTAACACTAAAACATCCTAAATCTAACCTAATCACCCTTAATCTCCCTAACCCATGAATTCAAAAGGTGATTACTCACTAATCTCCATGATTTCTCTTAAACCCATATTGGATTTCAGATTAATCATGTAGAGAAATAGACAAGAAATCAACAAGAACACAAGATGAAAGCAATGAAATCTCAATCCAAAAGAAGTTTTCTTCCAGAACAAAAGATAATCTGAATGGTGGCTTACAGAGTAGTTTTAATTAGGTTTCTGAAACTCAAAACATAAAAAACGAATATTGCAAAATGGTCCTTGAAACAACATTTTCGTCACAGAAAAGACGCACAGCAGGTCACAACCCCGCTGCCAAGACCCCGCTGCGAAGCCTCTTTCTTTTCTCTCGAACGCGAGCGACCCCCTGACTCTGCCCCGGGGGTCCGTTGTGGCCGTGGAGCGACCCCCTGACTCCGCTACGTGACCCCGCTGCGGCGCTGTGGATGCTCTGGCTCGCCAAATGACATCTTTGCACTCTTTTTTGGCACATAATTGATCTCAAACACCTCCAAGAACTCCATAGCATGTTCCACCACCTGATAAAGAGAAATGAATGCAAAATGCAACCTAAGAATGCCTAAATCTAATCTATATGCTCAACATGAACAAGAATGCAAGGTTAAAACCAAGTAAATATGCAACATATCACCCGCAAATGCGGGCAAAACACCTAGTTTGACCTAAAACATTAAACTTTTCTACATGATAAAGTTATTCACAAATTAAAAAAAAAACTATTTTTTCTTTTAGAACTTTGAAAAATCTAAAGTCTATTTCATTTCTTCTTAATTGATAAAATAATATAGAAATATATCTTTCCATTTGATAAATTGAATCGATAAATATACATTCAAAATTGATCTTACAAAAAGAATAATATTAGTTTGGATAATAATACAATATATTTTAATTTCTTTTTATCAAACTCGTATTTTTTTCTTTTTTAATGATCTTTTATTTTTCTATGATTAATTCATTCTTAGGTTTAACTATATAAAATATAAATATTAATTTAATTTAACGTGTGAGTTCAGAGGAGAAAAATAACTTCACAAATATATATATATATGTATATCATTATATTATATTATTATATTATATTATATTATTATATTTTTCAATCTTTTCTTTTAAATTATATACAATTAAAAATTTTATTTTATGAATGTTTATTTATGTGTTTTTTGTTTCTGAAATTTTTTATTAAAAATATATTTTCCGGATAACAACACAGTAAATATAGGAATTATCTTTTTTATTTTAAATATATATTTATATTATGGCTAATTATTATCATTATTATTAATTTAAATCAATTATCTAATCAAATAAGTATTAAATTCGTTTAAATCAATTATCTAATTAAATAAGTATTAAATTCGTTTTTAGTTTTTGCTGATTTATATATTTTATTCTTTAAGGGTATAATAGATAGAAATAATTATTACGGGAGGATGAGTGAAGGAAGGTACGTGGCGCTTCCTATTCCACTTGTTTGGCTGGCTCCCTTTGGAATTCAATTTCAGTTGGAAATCTCTTAGATCATCAAAAACATCCGTCAGTGACTTAACCTAAAAGAAAAAAGAAAAAGAAAAATGGCGACAAATGGTTTAGTGACGGGACTGAAAGTGTTTTTGCCGGTGATGTTCTGCGTCATGTTAGCGACTCTAATCTACACTATCATTACCGATGGCCTTCCTGAACCCGATCGTCCTGATGTCTTCACTCCGTATTCCTCTTTCCCATTTCTCTCTCTTGATGATTTTCACCTCTATACTTTGTTGTTTAGTTTTACTCTCTTTCTCTCTCATGTTGGTTTGGTTTGTTTGGTGTCTCTTCAGATGGTTCGCTACGACGATTTTGGATTTTTACATCAACATCGTTCCTATTGCGGTATGTTTTTTTTTTTTTTTTACTTTAACACCACTCTTATTCGATTAATTAATTAACTAGGGATTTATGGTGTTTTTAGATTATTAATTATTTGATTTGATTGATGGTATATAATAGTTAAGGTTCCATTGATTTTTTTATTTTATTTTAAGGTGTGGATTGTGTACAAGGAGTCTACATGGTTTGGTTCTATACTCTGGGCCATTTTGCTCATTGTATTTGGAAGGTACGATTTTTATTTTTTTATCAATTAGGTAGGTTCTATAAAATATATTTTTTTTATTTTTGTTTGTTTGTTACGATCGTTGTTTGTATTATGTTTGTGCAGCCTGACGACGTGTGTGTATCTGTTTATGCAACTTATCAAGCTGACACCTCAAGAGGCTTCTGAAGATCCTATGTACTACTTGTTACTCCGTGATTCCTTCAAGGATGGAGTTGGTCTTAGAGACAAGAAATCCCTTGTCGTCCCAGCAAGATTTGTGTTTGCTGCCTTAGCCTGTCTCATGCTTGCTGCTTTAGTTTACACCTGCTTGACTGATGGTTCTCCTTTCCGCATGGACCTTCTTTACCCGTCAGTTCTTTTTCTTTTCTTTTCTTTTCTTCATTGTTCTCAAGTGATTCTCTCCTTCAACCTTTTTTGCTTATATTTTATTCTCTAGGTGGATGGTGGTTTTACTGGTTGGCTTCTACATTAATGTCGCTGTTTTATCAGTAAGTGTATCTCTTGCTCCTCCTTTCGGTTTGCTATTACAACACTGGAGTTTTGCTTTGGATGGTCATCATCATTAAGAAGCTTTCATCATATTTCTAGCCATGCGATTACTCTGCATTAACCGTGTTTTTATTATATGTACCGTTTTGCTTTGTCCATGAGCCATTTTCTCTTTCTTTATTTTAGGTTTGGGTTGTGTATAAAGAATCTAGCTGGATCATTGGAATTCTCTGGGTTGCTCTGTTACTATCTCTTGGAAGGTACAATATATACTATCTTAATCAGTCCTGATCTTTGTAGTGTAACCCCTTGAAGATATCCCATTCATCATCTTATCCTATTAAGGAAGGATAGTTTTTTTCATTCATGTGTTTATTCTATCTGCTGCCTCAGCTTTGGCACGAGCGTAGTCATTGTGGTGCAGCTATTCCGTCTCTCTCCCCTCGACCCGCTATACTTCGTTCTGGTCAAAAACAGCAATCGGTAAGCACTGAATATGCAACCAAAGAAACAAAAAAAAAAGAAGACTTTTTTCTCCTCTAAGATTCTCAGAAGACGTAATCTAAGCAAAATAGATTAATAGTAGATATAATATACTCAAAAGTAACTCATCATTCAAAGTACAGCTTATAATTCTTGTTACATTTGTTGTGTTGGAGGAAGCAAAGAACAAAATAAGGGCTAAGTTAGTGAACTCTCTGGCAGGGCTGGAGATATGTATGAGCGCACTTATTCTGCGGTTTTGCGTATGTGAAGAAGCTTCCTTGTTTTCATATTTTTTTTATTACCACACATTTTAAAAAACATTTATTAGTCTTCCCACACAGTACAATTTGTGTTATGCATGTATTATTCCCCGAAATACGTGGATGATTCTTCTGTATATCAGTTACTTTCATTTCACAGATAAATCTATTATGCCGTTAGCCTGTTGAATAAAATAGTTGTTGTTTTTGGGTATGATGATGCAAATGAATCAGATGTAAATCAGACCTTTTTTTGGGCATAGACCAGATATGGAGTGAGCTCTTTTGCTCCAATATCATTTTTTTTTTTTGGGTTTCAGCAAGCCTTTTTAGTTTTGTCAAAAGCAAAGCGTTGGTCATCTATTTATATCTCGGGCAATGAACAAGTATAACTTAATAATAGTGCAATAGTGCAATACTATGAATTAGACTAACTAAATAATTAAATGTTTCTATATGGTTGAAGAGAAACCACACAATTGAAGAGAGATGAACAGACTCAATCTCCTGGCAATATACGTGATCCAACTTTTGAGTAACTAAATCAGCAATACAACATTTGAAAAGGTAGCAAACCTTAACTAGTTGCTTCCCAGTTCCCAAGCAAGATGTTATTCATTTTTTTCATCACGATTTAGTGAATTCACCCTATCTTTTTTTTAAAAAAAATCAAAAACAAAAACCAATCAGTCAATAATAAAAATGTTTTTAGATTATCAATAAATGATCAACTTGTTCTAACTGGAAGATTTTTGTTGTCTTGATAATAAGATCAGACAGGTATGAAACAGAATATGAGAAGCAAACGTGCATTAATAATGTAGCTCTTTCTATTTCTATTACAATTTATTCCTTACTGTATTTTTTCTGCTTTGCTTAGACAGGCATGGAATGATATATATATATATGAATGGAGCGGGTAACGAGAGGAACGGAATGGAATTGAGTGTTTCGCAAGGAATCTTGCCTCCAGGCACGCCTCCCTCCTTACCATCACGAGAAAACTCCTCTACTTCCAATCTCTAAGCTCACTTCTCTCTTAGCTTCCGCTAGTCCAGCTGCACACGGGTTTGCCCCCATCCTTTCTCTCTCTCTCTCTCTCTTCCTCTCACATCACATGAGAGCTAGCTTGGTTTCGATTTTGCTTTTGCATTTATTGTATATATATCTAAGGAAATATCTATTTTTAAAGAAGACGTTTTTAAAGAGAGTTGATAAATGATTGGCATGCTCATTTTATCTTTACAATGATATTTGGTTGGACACAGATGCTAGGAGAGCGACTTTACCCACTTGTGGAAAAGCAGGAACCATTTCACGTGGTTAAAGTCACATGAATGCTGTTGGAGATGGATCCATTCGAGATCTTGCACCTGATGGAGTTATCAGAGACACTCTCAAGTCTAAATTTTTTATATGTTCTCAGGCTAAATGTTGTTGCACCTGATCATGATCTCGGTTTCTCTACCTTCAACCGAAATCTCCACACTTCTACTTTCAGTATTTTTATTTTAGAACTTATGTTTATGTTTTTGAAACTTTAAACTTAATGTGATTGGTGCATTTTATTTAGAGTCTTTAACGCTACATGAAATTTAAGTTGTTTATCATTTGTCATTGTCAGCAACAAGAAGCCACTCAATCAATATATGGTAAGAGTTGAGTGACATGATGCTGCGAATCCAAACGTTGGTGTTTACTGTAATGAATTGATTCGAATGTGTCCTACTTGAATTTGTGGTTTGCAGTCAACATGCTTGATTTCAATCATATACACACACAAACTTTTTTTTTTTTGTGGTTTTGAAATTGGAAACGAGCAACTCAATCATTATACCATTTTCATTTCATAACAAATTGTTTGATATGACGTTAATTATAATGGTTTATGTTGATCGAATATTCTCCGAACAAGAGCAAGAATCTAACTCATTTTAGTTTATTCGGAAAACTCATGTTGGCATATAATAATAGTTTTGCTGAGACTTCTTATCAGAATTTTATTTTTATTAAAAATGTGAGATGTCGCATGAAATGAATGAATGAACTAACTCTGTTCATGTGAAATATATTATTAAAAGTCAACATCAGTGCTCTAATTTTCAAATTGACTATACTTATAAAATATGATTAAACAAAGAAGAGATGGTGAGTGGGTATACGTGTCACCGGCCAAAATGTGGCTGCCCCTTCTCATTGGAGCTTCACTAGCCGACTTTTGTCTCATCATTTGTTGACTTCATTCAAATTTTTACATACTTTAATGAAAACTCATTTCCTTCGGTTCTAGATTGTTCCGTCCACTTTCTTTCTTTCTTTGACACAATTCAATCATATCAACGAAGTGAATGAATATTTTTTGTGTGTGTGTGTGTTCATTTATTTGGTGTTGAAATTGAAATGAATTCTAATATGCAAGCCTGCGAGGAAACTATTTTATGTAAACACAACATCTAAATTATGACCTAATGACGGTAAAACAGGGTTATATCTAATAATTAATGTTGAATTATCATTAAAGATTACAAGTATAACCTAATGAGTGAAACAGTTTAATTTTGTTGAAGTTGCGTTTTCAAATTCTTCGTTTGCTCGGTTGCAGAAGTGTTCGATTCTCTTATACTAAATTGATTAATGTCACGGTTGTCCTGTGCAAAAAAGCAGGTAACATAATATATATAATAGAGTAACACTTGAAGACAAATAAATAAAGACTGTTGACAATGTAACGTGTAATGAATATCTCGCTCAGTAAACCACAATAGAATCGATTCATTGGACTATAACTTAAATTAATCGAAAGAAATGTTTACCGTGTGAGAGCATATGACTTTTCAAGAAGCTTTTGATGTTTTTAAAAAAGTTTTTTCCACCATAGTATCACTTTTGATAAAAGATGGTTTTAAACTTGATATAATAACAAAAAGTAGAGAAGCTAGCTTTATCAAAACTGAATACTCTTTTAGATTAACAATTTTGTATGTCACAAGGAAAATTGTAAACCAAAATTGAAGCCAAGTCTAGTGAATAAAGTTTTGTATTGCCACTCTTAAAAGTTTGCAATGACCTTCACAAAAACACAATATGTTAATCAATAATAATGAAAATTTGTCTACAAGTTTGGCTATGACAACGATCATACAACTGCTTAATTTATGAGTCCGATCGTTAGAAGCCAACTGCTGCAAAATAGATAGACATGCAAGAAAAGAGAGAATAGTCAATGTCGTTTAGACCATAGATGTGGTGTCTTTATAAATTCTTAGAGAGTAAGTTACATCTAGCATCCCTTCTTATAACAAATTAGAACATATATGTGCTCTTGCTTCATAGGTTGAAACAATGATAGATTCCCTAAATTATTGGAAGGAGAAAATGATGTGATTTTCGTTTGTTTACATTAATGCTTACGAAATTCGTTTTCTGACTGAAAAATACTTATATTTCACCTAAACATTCAAGGATTACAAAATGAATAACAAAGCCGACGGAAGAACAATACGAAATTCAGTTACATCAACAATTAAACAATTAATTATCTAAAAATAAACAATTACACATAACGTTGAATGACTATAGAAAATTATCAATATCAACAATAACAAATATGAAGTACAAGAAAATATAATAGAGTATATGTGTATTTTCTCTAGTATTGATCATTATACTTGACAAGATTCAAAGTTTTCAATGTAAAAATAAAAAAAATTATGTTAAACATTAAAATAGTCACAGTGTTGAATAAATTAAAATAATGATTTTAATTTCAGCCCAGTTAGGAGTCTCCACGTATGGTTTAGAGCCCATCGCATACATATAGGGGGGAGCATGACCATGAAAAGCCCACAGTTATGTTCCATCTTCAGTCACCAACCAGCCATCCACAGAGTGTGGACCCCACACACCACGAATCGTATGGTAGATCACTAAAATATATTGCTGGCATCCTGTTGCGCCACGTCTGTGTTAGGAGGAAGATCAACGTCCATATATCTCTTGCTCCTCTCTCATTGGTACACATCGTTTTGTTTATATTTCAACTTGTTTATATGTGGTAGGGTGGACAAGTGGGAAGATGATAAATATCTAAAAAGAGTGTGGGCCACATTTGTAGTCTTGAGATATTTTCTCAACGGGCTGGGCTGTCTCCACAAAAGCTGCCCCGTTAGTCGATACCCACCATCAGACGGCTCGAATCTCTTCAGGTCAAGCTGCCCGAAAACTTTTGTTATAAGAATTTGTGTGGGACTCACTCACCACTGAGATCAACGGTTGAAATTTCCGAAGGTCTACGTAACACATCGTAGCTTCTGAACGCAGCTCCTTCGAAAATATCTAGGGACACATGTCACTTAGGTTTGTAAGAAAAGTAATTAACTAATCACATGACAGAGCTTATACTTAAATTAATAAAAAGGAGGAGAAATAATACACTCATGGGACCTTTAAACTATGTAATTAACGGACAGAGTTTATTTAACCGATCTCACCATACCATTTTGATTAAAAAAATTTGATTTGTTAAAAAATAATAAATATGTTATGGAAAAATCTCTTAAATAGACATTTTTAAATTTTATAATAAAAATAAACATCAAAAATAAAAATGATCATAATAGCAGTTTTTATTTTGAATTTTTTTTTTTAATTTGAAATCCTTAGGTTGATTGGATGGTGATGTAGCTTATTTTTTTTTTGCTTTAGAAAATAGACTGTGGATTTTTTTGCTTTGCCTTTGATTATTTTGGTGTAGATTTATTTTTAACGCACTAAATAAAATCTGTAGAAAGTTTGATTTTGAAAGCTAAAATCTTTCATTCTCTAGGTTTTGTTGTAGCTTTAATTTTTTAAAATAAAGCTTGATTGCTTTAGGGGGTGTTATTCAATTAGTGATTTAAAATCAGTTCTAAATATTTTACAATCTATCAAATTTTAAAATTTTAAGATTGTTAAAGTTTATGGATTCTAAAATCTCTGCAATATCCATTGGATTTAGAATTTAATCATTTATTCATTAGAATCTATCACCAATGATTTGAAATCCATTTATGTTACAAAGAATTTTAAAATTCTTAAAACTTGAATAACACCAGATTTTAAAACCTGAAATTCAATCATAGATTGAATAACACTGAATTTTAAAATAGAATTTAGGATCATCAATTGAATAACAATGGATTGTGTTTAGTTTTAAACTCTTTTAAAATACATGATTGAATAACACCATCTTAGAAAATAGAACGAAAAAATGATTGTCCAAAGTATCTACAGCATTTACCAATTAACATCCTTATCCCAAAACCCCATTCCTCAACTCTAAAAGAGAAAAAAATAATTAGTTAACAAAAAGAATATAAGTATATATTTTACTTATTTTTGATAAAACATATAAGTTTATTTTAGTCATTTTTATTTGTAAATTTTATATTTGTGACAAAAGCCTTTTTTAGGTCTTTCCTAGAGAATTTTTATATGTTTATTTATCTATCCATATTTTTACTGGTAAATTTTTGTATTTCAGAAACTTTTTTAAAAATATTTTCAGAATATACCAAATTTCGAAATAAACACACAATCAGAAATTATAATATATTTCCTACCTATTTTTTTTAATTAGAAATTAAATCTTAAGTTAGTTGAAATTTAACTGAATTTATGATATTTTTACAGTCGAAAATCTATTGGAAATCTTATATATTAAAACAGAAGTCATGACTTGACTTCATGTGTGATTTTTAAAAAAATGGACTATTACTAGAAAGTTATGTTACATTAACTCTCTAATAATCTTATCATTATTATATCTTATGAAAAATCATATCTATAATAACAAAAATACGTTTAACAATTTGGTTTTGGTAAATTACCTCACACCTTCCAACTTAGTCACACAAAATATGTCAATAGATATAAGTTTAGAAATCTTCTATTATTTATAAGGAAATATGTCAATAATAGTTAAATGCATCCACAATATATTAACAAAAATCACAGATTAGTAATATGGAATATTTATATACCCTAACAAAATTTACACACTATATATATTAGAAAATTTTATTTCGTTGTAAATTTTAAAAAAAAAATTAAAAAGAATTTGTTTAAAAAATTCCCTTTTAATAAAATTCTTTATAAGATTAATTTATGAAATTATAAATTTAGTTCATAGCAAAAATTTCTTCGAAGTTTATATTATCTTTGCAAATTAAAGGTACACTAATATTTAATTAAGCTGTATTTATATTACTTTATCTAAAAATGAAATACTAATCTAACAAACAATAAAATATAGAAGAAACAAACACATGTTTGAAAAACATGTATAATATAGAAAATTTGAAACAATCTATTTGATTAAAACACTTATTATATAATATTATTATGTTTGAAAAACATTTACTATACATATCGTAAATATATGATTACTATAATATATATCAATTTACAAGTGAAAATAAAATTTCTATATAAATAACTATAAACGAAAGCAAATACCCGTGCGGTTGCGCGGGTGAAAATTTAGTTTAAAATTAAATTAGTAAATTTACTGAGGATAAGAAGCAGTGGTAAAATAAAACAACCGAAGGGGGTGAATGTATGTGATGGATGATGCATATGGGAGATGGACACAATGGACATGGAGGAGGATGAGATCTAAAACGAGAGCATAAAGAAAGGGTCGGGTCGTGGTGGCAAAAGGCGGAGAAGTATCGGTACGCCACGTCAGGTTGGAAAATCTTAAACCGAGTGGAGAAAGCCTCCAAAATCTCTTTCTCTCTTCCTCTCATTTTTTACAAATACACAATCCTCTCTCTCCTTCTCTCTTCTTCATAATAATAATCTTCCAGAAATCATTTCTCTGATATTTCTCTCCTCCCAAATCTTTCTCCCTTTCACCACTGATTATTCTTCCCTCATCGATTTTTTTTGTAGCTCTCAAATAAATATCCAGAAGAAAAAAAAAACACCTATAGAGAGAGAGAGAACCAAAGCAGAGCAATCTCATCATAAGAAGATTCCTTCTGACAGGTCCGTGTTTGGTCTCTTGTTCCTATGGTTGATTCTTCAGATAGATAATATGAGAGATCTGTAGTAAAATTGTGATGAATTATCCTTCAATTTGTTTTTACCTTTACTTTTACTGGTTTATCTATCTCTACTTGCATTTCTCTCTGCAAAGATCTCTCTGTTCATTTGAAAGACCACATCTTTTTGTTTATCTGATTGATTGAGATTCTTTCTTCTTATATATTTACAGGAAGGAGCCAACAGTTTTAGCAGAGCCTTATTATATAAGAGTGATTCCCTTTTTAGAGAAAGAACTCTTCAGCTTCGATTTACTTAGAGTATAGTAGATAAAACTAGACCAAGAACTTTTGCGATTGTGTAACCATTCATTCACTCTTAGATGATGACTTCGCCTACTTCTTCTGAGAGGTGGACCGATGGTCTTCAGTTTTCTTCCTTGTTATGGTCTCCCCCACGTGACCCTCAACAACATAAGGTACCTTAACCAATACTAAGAAGCCTCTGTTTTTTTTTTAAATTATTTGTATAATCCATGAACCGGTGCTGATATGAGGTTACTGATTTGTCTTTTCTCTTTAGGATCAAGTTGTAGCTTATGTCGAATACTTTGGTCAGTTCACATCAGAGCAATTCCCTGATGATATTGCTGAGGTACTTGTTGCCTAGTTTACTTAATAAAGCTTCTATCTCTCAGTAGTGTGATGATTTACTGATTTTATATTAAATATCACTGTATCAGTTGGTCCGGAATCAGTATCCATCAACTGAGAAGCGGCTTTTGGATGATGTGTTGGGTATGTATGACATGAGCTTCTCTTTCAAACACTTTATGATCCATGCTTGTTTGTTTTGAATGGATGGTGTAATCTGACTTTGTCTTGCTGATGAAACCAACAGCTATGTTTGTCCTCCATCATCCGGAGCATGGTCATGCAGTCATCCTTCCCATTATTTCATGTCTCATTGATGGCTCTCTGGTGTACACCAAGGAAGCTCATCCTTTTGCCTCTTTCATATCTTTAGTTTCCCCTACTAGTGAGGTATATAGTTTCTCAACAGTGTTTGTTGGTTAAGACTGTGTTCTTTTTGGTGTGCTGACATACATGTGTGTTTACAGAATGACTATTCAGAGCAATGGGCTTTGGCGTGCGGAGAAATCCTTCGCATTTTGACTCATTACAATCGTCCCATATACAAGACTGAGCAACAAAATGGAGAAACAGAGAGCAAAGCTTCAACTAGTGGCAGTGGGTCTCCTACGCTTTCAGAGACTAAGGTTGTATCACCAGGACAGCATGAAAGGAAACCTTTAAGGCCTTTGTCTCCATGGATCAGTGATATACTACTTGCTGCTCCCCTTGGTATAAGAAGTGACTACTTTCGGTGGTAAGTAGATTCTGTTACTTGATTTATAGTGTGCTTAAGCTTCAACTAAAAAATGTTGTTTGTATCTACAGGTGTAGTGGTGTTATGGGTAAATATGCTGCTGGAGAGCTCAAGCCACCTACCATTGGTGAGTTTCCATCACGTGTGGCTATTAGAATGGGTTGTGAGTTAGGTCTTATAACTCTCTACTTTTGCAGCTTCTCGAGGATCTGGTAAACATCCTCAATATATGCCTTCGACGCCAAGATGGGCGGTTGCTAATGGAGCTGGTGTCATACTGAGTGTTTGTGATGATGAAGTTGCTCGATATGAGACTGCTACGTTAACAGCGGTTGCTGTCCCTGCACTTCTCCTTCCTCCCCCAACGACATCCTTAGATGAGCATTTAGTTGCTGGCCTTCCAGCTCTCGAGCCATATGCACGTTTGTTTCATAGGTAGTGTTTCTGAACACATACTTTGGATTGTGGTTTATTAATAGTATGTTGTTAATGTTAAGGCTGTACCTCCTGGATTCATATGTTGTTCAGAATTGCTTCTAACTTTCTTGTTCTACTGTCAGATATTATGCGATTGCAACCCCAAGTGCTACTCAGAGACTTCTTCTTGGACTCTTAGAAGCTCCACCGTCTTGGGCTCCAGATGCACTTGATGCTGCTGTACAGCTTGTGGAACTCCTTCGAGCTACTGAAGATTATGCTTCTGGTGTAAGGGTAAGTGTTATATGAATCCTTTAATTACTCTCAACAAAGATGATTGTATCCCTTGTTCCACACTATGAGATTTCTTGGCTTCATCACCAGTGGATAGCATTTGCTTTCTTATAAAATAATCAGCTTTGATATGTCATGGATCAGCTCTGATCACACTCTCTTTTCTTGATGTAGCTTCCCAGGAATTGGATGCATTTGCACTTCTTGCGTGCAATAGGAATTGCTATGTCTATGAGGGCAGGTGTTGCTGCTGATGCTGCAGCCGCTTTACTATTCCGCATACTCTCTCAGCCGGCGCTACTTTTTCCTCCACTAACCCAAATTGAAGGAGTAGAAATTCAACACACACCTATTGGTGGCTACAGTTCAAATCACAGAAAGCAGGCATGATTCCCATTTGTATTTCTCTTCGTTTTGCTAATTTACCAAGTTATCTCTGATATGAAAATTTTACTAATAACACAATCCTTTATTGTTCACCAGGCAGAAGTTTCAGCAGCAGAAGCAACCATTGAAGCCACTGCTCAAGGAATTGCCTCAATGCTTTGTGCTCATGGTCCTGAAGTGGAGTGGAGAATTTGCACTATATGGGAAGCTGCTTATGGATTGATCCCTTTAAATTCCTCTGCGGTTGATCTTCCAGAAATCATTGTTGCTACGCCACTGCAACCTCCCATCTTGTCATGGAACCTATACATTCCACTCCTCAAAGTGCTTGAATATCTTCCACGTGGGAGTCCTTCCGAAGCATGCTTGATGAAAATATTTGTCGCCACCGTGGAAACAATCCTCACCAGAACTTTTCCTCCAGAAACTTCCCGGGAACATATTAGGAAAGCTAGAGCGAGTTTAACCACGAGATCAGCGACCAAAAACCTTGCTATGGCTGAGCTTCGTGCTATGGTCCATGCTCTCTTTTTAGAATCATGCGCTGGTGTGGAGATAGCTTCACGCCTACTTTTTGTTGTGTTGACTGTATGTGTTAGCCATGAAGCACAGTCTAGTGGGTGCAAGAGACGGAGAAGCGAAGATGCTAGTAGCACTGCAGAGGAGAATCAACATGTATCTGACAATCAAACTAGTAACCGTAAAAGTAGGAGTGTCAAGGGACAAGGACCTGTGGCAGCATTTGATTCATACGTTCTTGCTGCTGTTTGTGCTCTTGCCTGTGAGGTTCAGTTGTATCCTATGATCTCTGGAGGGGGAAACCTTTCCAATTCTGCAGTGGCTGCAACAATTACAAAGTCTGTAAAAATAAATGGGTCATCTAACGAGTACGGAGCTGGGATTGACTCGGCAATTAAGCATACACGCCGAATCTTGGCGATTCTTGAGGCACTCTTTTCATTGAAACCATCTTCTGTGGGGACTCCATGGAGTTACAGTTCTAGCGAGATAGTTGCTGCGGCCATGGTTGCAGCTCATATTTCCGAACTGTTCAGACGTTCAAAGGCCTTGACCCATGCGTTGTCTGGGTTGATGAGATGCAAATGGGACAAGGAGATTCATAAAAGAGCATCGTCGTTGTATACCCTCATCGATGTTCACAGCAAAGTTGTAGCATCCATTGTGGACAAAGCTGAACCCTTAGAAGCATACCTTAAGAATGCACCTATCCAGAAGGATTCACTGACTTGTCTTAACTGGAAACAACAGAATACATGTGCAAGTACAGCAGGGTTTGGCACAGCAGCGGTGACGTCCACATCACGTAATGAAATGACTCCAAGAGGAGGCAACCACAAGTATGCTAGACATTCAGATGAAGGCTCAGGGAGTAGATCATCCTCAGAGAAGGGTATCAAAGATCTGCTCTTGGATGCTTCTGATCTAGCGAATTTCCTCACAGCTGATAGGCTGGCAGGGTTTTATCGTGGTACACAAATTCTTTTGAGGTCAATACTTGCAGAGAAACCGGAGCTTTCTTTCTCCGTTGTTTCACTGTTATGGCACAAACTGATAGCTTCTCCTGAAATCCAGCCAACTGCGGAAAGCACCTCTGCTCAACAAGGATGGAGACAGGTAAAAAAGCCTTTCCCCTCTTGCTTATAGTTTACTTAAATGTTCTTGAGGTTCTTCACGAATCCAAGTGCTCAAGGGGCTAGACTTCATTCACTGATCATATTTCTCATGTATCAGGTAGTTGATGCACTATGCAATGTCGTATCTGCAACGCCGGCAAAAGCAGCTGCAGCCGTTGTTCTTCAGGTCCATATTTCTCTTGAACTTGTTTATTTGTCTACTATGTAAATATTAAGATCAATCAACTACAGAAACATCTTTGAAGGATTTACTTTTATTGCTCTAGTATGTTGAATGGGGGGACTTGTGTTTTAATATACAGGCTGAGAGAGAGTTGCAGCCATGGATCGCCAAAGATGATGAAGAAGGTCAGAAAATGTGGAAAATAAACCAAAGGATAGTGAAAGTGATGGTGGAACTCATGAGAAATCATGACAGGCCTGAGTCACTGGTGATTCTAGCAAGTGCATCAGATCTTCTTCTGAGGGCTACTGATGGAATGCTTGTTGATGGAGAAGCTTGTACATTACCTCAACTTGAGGTAACACTATACAATACACCTTTCTTTATTGATTAGATTGCCCTTAGACTGGAAAATCGTGCTGACTCCCAACTTTTTTTTGCAGCTACTTGAAGCCACGGCAAGAGCAATACAACCAGTGTTAGCTTGGGGACCATCTGGACTAGCAGTGGTGGACGGTTTATCCAATCTATTGAAGGTAAAAAAAACATGAGCCTACCTATGGTTTCCTGTGTTAATCAGTATAAACCACTATGGCACTGATCTTTTTTTGCTTCGTTATAGTGTCGCCTGCCGGCAACAATACGGTGCCTGTCACATCCAAGTGCACACGTACGTGCCTTGAGCACATCAGTATTACGAGACATAATGAACCAAAGCGGCATAACCACCACCACCACAAAGGCAACACCAAAACCACCGCCAACAATAACAACAGAGAAGAATGGAACGGACAGCCCGTCGTACAGGTTCTTCAACGCGGCTGCAATAGACTGGAAAGCAGACATACAAAAGTGTTTGAACTGGGAAGCTCACAGCTTACTGTCCACAACAATGCCAACACAGTTTCTTGACACGGCGGCTCGAGAATTAGGATGTACCATATCAATGTCGTCCCAATAACACGAGCCCCCCCTTCTCTTTAAATGATTTGGAAGTAGACCACCAATATGATCATGTTGTTACTTTGTATTTAGTATGATGTATGATGATGAGTGACTAACGCAATCATATTGCGACCGGTGCTGTCGCTCGGGTCTCTACTCTTATATAACTCAAGCCTCTCTTGTTTTGTACATTTTTAACATGACGAAGCAGCACAATCTTTTTTTTTTAATTTGTTCTGTGTTAGCTTGAAGGGATCTAAATCGTAACGTATATCATTTGTTCTCATTCTCTACTCAGGTTGGTTAATATGACTAACTACTGTTGCATTGTGTTTGTAACATTCCGAATTGTGATATATGAAAAGGCTTAAAATGATTGATTTCGCTACCTATGTCACCAAAGTGCACTTATCTTTTCGGGAACACATCTAGAAATAATTCCAGAGTTAAACGTGTTTCAGATGGAGTAGTCAAAGGATGAATGATCTATTAGGATGAATGATCTACTCAGGTTGGTTAATATGACTAACTACTGTTGCATTGTGTTTGTAACATTCCGAATTGTGATATATGAAAAGGCTTAAAATGATTGATTTCGCTACCTATGTCACCAAAGTGCACTTATCTTTTCGGGAACACATCTAGAAATAATTCCAGAGTTAATCGTGCTTCAGATGGAGTAGTCAAAAGATGAATGATCTATTAGGAAGTAATTTGCGATACCGTGTAAGTGAGGCCAAAGCACAGGGAAAGGTCATGTGGTGATTGCAGTGTCAGTAAACATGACCCTAGAGCCTTGGAAAATTAACGGATCGACCGTTGGAACGGAATGGGGCTTATGGACCGAGAGAGCGGATGTAAATGACCCATTAGCCGTGGACGGTCGGGGCGTTACAGTGTTACTATGTGTATCACATTAGCTGATGGTACAGAATCTCCAACTCTTGAGAGCTTACATACTGGATACTACTCTATGCTTTGTCTTTCAGGCAGAGCATCTTCTTCCCTCCTTTTTAGGGAGTGAGAAATTGATGAGTGCATAATATCTTAATGTTGTTTTGTTTCCCAATTCAACCATGCTCATAGTTTTTGAAAGAAAGGAGTTAAGTGGAATCAAATACACTTTTTAGAAGTGGATGTGCTTTGCCTCTGCCGTTGCTGTCTGACTGTATGTGTGGGTGCTTAGGAGGCCTATCGTGAGCTGTTCTTGGCGGTGTCAATCTTTTAGAGTAGATCATCGGGGAGGCCAAAATTACTGGGTTCTATCTCTCATTTTAACTGTGATTCCTCTTTTTGCGGCAAGTGGTTTGTGTTCTTCTTGGCCAAGCCTCCGGTTAGTGGTGCGGTTTGTAGTGTCGAATCTCTGTGTAGTCTAGATTTGAGTTGTTGTTTAGATTTATTTCTGTTTAATCTGTTTCTGGTCATCCTCTGTATTCTGTCAAAAACTTTAAAATCTGGTAATAATATCTTTACATTTTTACCGAAAAAAAAAAATACACTTTTTAGTTTTTTTAAAAAAAAAACTATTTCATGACAAACCATTCTCACGTAACATTCTAGATATATACGACATCTTTGAAAGACATACTTTCTCTGCAGTAAAAAAATCACAACGAATGCTCTACTTACGTTGATATTTACGATAAACTTACATCTTATAATCGGTAAAAGATTGCATATTCTAAAAACATTGTAGGATAACTGGTATGGTGTAGTTTATATAGTAACGAAAATCTCTACATATATTTATATATCTATATGTTTGTGTTAATATTTGAATCATACCGCACTTGTTCTGCAGTTATCATGTATGTTACCATTTGAAATCTAAATATATAGATATATGTAGAGATTTTTATTATTATTCACAGTGAATAATAGTGCGTAGTAGGGCGGACTGTCACCATTCGGAGTTTGAGCCTCCAGTAAATTTTGGTAATAAGTATGATTTAATAAAACAAAGACCCGTCGCAATCGTGGGAAAGTTAAGTTAGTACATGGTCATCAGTTACATTAACACACACATAATTAATTAATTAATTAATTTGATTTTCATGTTTCCACTCTCTTCTTCTCTTTGCTGCTTCTCTCTCATCGCCGATTTGGGTTGGGATTCACGCCAGAAACGAGAGAGAGAGAGAAAGTGGAGATCGCAACCGCCGGCGCTGACCTTAAGTCATAATACACTACTGAGCTGATCCGTGAGGTGAATTAACTACTCCCTCTTCTGCTCCCATCATTAGTTTCCTTTCATTGTGTGTTGTTTCCTGAGAGACAGAAGAGGATGGTAGTACTAGCTAGCTAGTCTTTTTTGGTTGCTTGAGTAGTAGAGCTGCTAATTGCATGTTGTTAAAATCTCTTCTCCTTAGGTTACGGCGGATCCACATCTCATTATTATTTTCCTACTTTCACTCTCTCTCGCCCGCCCGTTTTAGATCTCTTCCCACTTGATCAAATCTCACTTTCTAGACTTTGATTGTCTTTTTTTTTAAACTCGATTTAATTGAATCTGTTAATAACAACAGGACACTACTTACTTGTTTGGTCCTCGATCAGGAAGGTGGACACTGAATAAGAGGACCAGATGAATAGAAGAGAAGCTAATGTTACTGCTGGCCGTTGAAGAAGGAAGTTTATTCTCAGCTTCCTCCACGTAAAGGACCACCCTTCTTCTCTCCAGTGAAGTGATATAGAGGCAGGCTCATGAGAGTTTGTCCCCTTGAACCTTGTTGACAAAGATCACTCGCTGGATTCCATCAAGAACCGCATCTCCCGCGGTTGCGCTTCCTTTTCTTGTTTCTCTTGTGGCGTTGGCCCAAGCGCTTCCGCGGCGGGACTTGATGCCACCACTACCACAACCACCACCGCATGTCCTCCTCTTAAAGTAGAACCGGTGAAGCATCCTGTTGTATCGACGACGACACCAGACACTGTTGACACGATCACTAAAACCACCTCGTGTCCTGTTAAAGTAGTGTCTTCTTCACCGGAGTCTGTTGCTGCTGTTCCTGAAAAGTTGAAGGGACAAGACAACGACGCTGATGTGGTGGATAACACCGGCAAAGTAGCTTTCAAACTCTCGTTGAGGAGCAGCTTGAAGAGGCCGACGACCTCTGTTGTTGTTGAGTCACGGTCTCTTTTTGAGGATATTAAAGAAAATGAGACGTTGAGTGTCGACGACGATGCTAGCGAACTTACCAGTGGTGGCGATACGGGAAGGCGGAAAGTGAAGTGGCCAGATGCGTGTGGTAGTGAACTCACTCATGTTAGAGAATTTGAGCCCAGGTAATCTATCTTTCTTGTTGAGCAGAGCCTTAAATATCAAATACATTTTATTATCCACTGCTACTATCTATCTTATTGTGAATCATGAGCTTTGATTTTTAGTGTAGCTAGCTATATAATCAAAACCTTCGATTTTTATTTTTGTTTTGGGTGGCAGTGAGATGGGATTATCAGATGAAGAATGGGAGATGGGACGGCAAAAAGGGACATGTTCATGTGTAATCATGTAGATCATCGTTTACTCACTCACAGTTTTCAAAAATGTGTATTTTATTACAACAAAAAAAAAGTCTCATCAAGGTTTTGTTCTTGTACATTTTTCTTCTGTTTTGAGTGGCAAACATGTCGACGGTTACTTTTTTCTTATCAATCCAACTTGCTTTGTATATGGACAGTCGATACAGTTAGGAAGATAATATGTTACTACTAACATAATAGTAGCATCAAACTCCTCAAGTGTAAGGGGATGTAAGTGTCAAAATGTAAAGTAAAAGAAGATTTACGGAATACAGATAAATAATAGGGACCGAAATGAAAGAAAAAAGAAACCAAACAGAATTCTACCGTCCAAAACCCAGAAACACTGTCCCGGCGCATCTAAAAGAAAGAAACAGAGATTAGAAAATGCGGAGGATCAATTCACTGTACTTACGAATTGGGATTCTCAAGATAGTAGTCGGAAAACCAACGAAGCAACCTCACACTTCCCTCGCATCTCTCTCCTTCTCCACAAGCGGTGGTTATGGCGGTGGCGGTGAGACTCAGCAGAATAATAATAGCTCAAGGGTCAAGATCTTTGATCGAGATCTCAAGCGCGTACATGTGTAGTGCTCACTCAAATTCATCTTTACATTTCTCTTTTTTTTTTTCTTTTTTAAATCAGCCAAAGCTTTTTGATTTTTGATATTTGATATTTGATTCTGACGCTGACTCAGCGTGACCGAGCTGCGTGGCTGTCTCGAAACAAAAACGACACCTTTGTCGACGCTGTTGCTGAGAATCTTCTTGACCGCTTAGAGGTACACTCCTCTTTTTCTTCTTTGATCGTGTATTAAGACAAATTAGATTAGCTATTATTAGCAAATCAAGTAGTGATCTTGTTTTTTTTTTCTTCTAAGGATTGTAAGAAGAGTTTTCCATCTGCATTGTGTTTGGGAGGTTCTCTTGGTGCTGTTCAGCGTTTACTACGTGGTCGTGGTTTGTTATCTCTCTCTCTTGACTTTTATATTGGTTTAGTTGTAATCTTTTGAATGAATGATGATGATGGGTTTTTTTGTATTTGTTGCACAGGTGGGATTGAAAAGCTTATCATGATGGATACTTCACATGACATGATTAAATCATGTAGAGATGCTCAACATGACTCAGTTGATAAATCCATTGACACATCTTACTTGGTTGGTGATGAAGAGTTTCTCCCTATCAAAGAGAGGTATACTATAACCCTCTCTTTTTCTGCCTCTCAACACAGTTCTGTGTGTGTCAACTACTAAAATGTTGTTGTTTTTTGAAGTTCGGTTGATTTGATCATAAGTTCGTTGGGGCTTCACTGGACAAACGATCTTCCAGGATCCATGATACAGGTCTTCCTTTTTCCTTCCTTGAGATTTTGCCTGTGTATGTAGTGATTTGGTTTGTCCTCTTAATAATGTGCTTGCTTTTGGATCGTGCAGTGCAAACTGGCGTTGAAGCCTGACGGTTTGTTTTTAGCAGCGATTCTTGGTGGAGAAACCTTAAAGTTTGTCCTGTCTTCCCATCTCAATATTGAATACCTCTCCCATATGTTCTTTCTTTTTTTTTTTTGTAAAATGAATCTGTATTTTAATCAGGGAGCTGAGGATAGCATGCACTTTGGCTCACATGGAGCGTGAAGGAGGCATTAGTCCCCGGCTATCACCTTTGGCACAGGTGTGTGTGTGTGTGTGTGTGTGTGTGTGTGAATCTTGCAGCTTAAATATAAAAATGGCAGCGAACGCAATTTGTAAATGACAGAACTGTAAAGTTGGTTTAGGATCGTACTGAGCTGAAGAACATGGCTTGTCTCTCTCTTTTGCTCTCTATCAGGTTAGAGACGCAGGGAACCTCTTGACCAGGGCTGGTTTTAGTCTCCCTGGCGTTGACGTTGACGAATATGTAGTTAAATACAAGAGTGGTAAAATACTATTCCACTTGTCTTCTTCCAAAGCTTTTGTATTTTTCTTGTCTAACTTTCTCTCTTCTGTGATATCTTTCTACTCAGCGCTGGATCTTATAGAACATCTTCGCGCAATGGGTGAAACCAACGGTCTTCTCCAGAGAAACAAGGCAAGTTTTCTATCTTTCTGTCGGATTTTTTTCTCAGTTCTGGCTACTACCTACCTAAATACATACATATTTTTTCTTAAACAAAACCCCTCTTTTTATACAGATATTGAATCGCGAAACTGCTCTTGCCACGGCAGCCATATATGACTCCATGTTCGCCACTGAGGACGGCACTATACCTGCTACTTTTCAGGTCCATCTGAATGAATACTCTACATTACGTAGTCTTTTAGAGTATGTATTGGATTGAAACAATGCTCGCTAGATACTAAATCCTGCAGTGGGTTCATTTGTAGGTGATTTACATGACTGGATGGAGAGAACACTCTTCTCAACCACAGGCCAAGAGGAGAGGTTCAGCCACCGTATCCTTCACGGATATCCAGAAGCAATTCGGTGGTCAATCTTGATGGATGGATGGATCAAAAAAAGAAGAGGCACGTTCAAATAAACTTAGACCTTGAAAAAGGAGACTGAACTTTATTTAGGGTACTATTGTGTGCATGCTCCTGTGAGGTCCTATTGTAAGCATTTGAGCGAAATTATAACGATCATGAATGTCGCCCAATGTATCAAATAATAATGGATTATCTGACCACTCTATGCAGACAATAAGTATATGTTGCGTTTTTGGTAGACAATGATTTGATTTATCGTTGCCTCTGTTATTTTTTTTTTATATTTTTAATAATATATATTTGTTGTAACTTCCTAACGCATGCGTTGCAAGGAACAATTTATATTTCAAAGATGTTTCCAGATATTTTATTAGACACAACAAAACGTTGTCTGAAACAATCAAAAGCGTAACGACCAAAGTTTATAGAATTGGGCCGAGAGCGAAACATAAACGTATATATGTATTCACAACGTTTTGTTAGCTTACACTAGGCTCCATCACTGTTTCTTTTTTGGTAGCTCTGTATCTTAAAACAAATAGAGAAGAACAAGAAGAAGAAGTTCAAACGTGATTTTGACCGTCCAGATAATCATACACCGATATATTCAACGGCTCCCTCACTTCATTCTCACAATACGCCGTCGTATCACCACACCCAGAGTTCCCTGACACGCCGCTACTGTTAACGATCCCGGCGTCAACAGCCATCCCAGCATTCGAAGCAGCTTGCTGGATAGACCTCGGCGAAGTCTTGGAAGCGATGGAAGGAGGGAGCAAGTGAGGGAAGTTTAGAGATTCGAGTGAGTTTGGTTGGTGTAAACAGTAGAAAGCCACGTCGTGTGCCACGGCTGCGCCTTCTGCCGTGGAGAATGAGCCTAACCAGAGACGGTCACGAGTTCCCGGAACTCGAATCTCCGATACCCATTTTCCCCATTTCCGACGACGGATGCCTTTGTATTTTGATTGGGTTTCGTCGCTGTCTCTGTAATCCATGTTGTTGTGTCTTTTTGAGTTTGTGTTTGAGTTTGAATCTCTGGGGACACGGTGGCTATTTATACGTTGAAGATGGCAAAGTCAAAATGGATAAAATACTCGTATAATTTAGGTTGACCGGTAAACTATAACAAAAAATAAGATACTTTATTTTTGTGTTCAAAAGAAGAATTCAACGGGTCAAAGTATGACCCGTTTCACACACTATAGTGGTATCAATTTGACATGCGGTGGAAACTAGTTTCAAGTTGTAACTTTCTTGTTTCTAATAATTATTTATTTGTATTTCGGAAATTGTATATTGAATAGATCTAACTCAACTAAAAATTATAACATATATTATCAATGGATCATCGACTATCATCGCGAAATTTCTTTTTAATTAACATGGGGGTATTGAAATTTTTAAAAGTTTTACTCTGATATTATTAGTAGAACTAACTTATTTTCAGAAACAAAGTTACTATTGAAAAATTACACTTATATATATGTTAGATAAATATTGCATTATTGTGGATTTTTGTAATTTTGAAACAATATATAATATTGAAAAATTACACTTATATATGTTAGACAATATTTATCTAACTATTTATCTAATTTTTGTTTTTTATATCATCTATAAAAAGGATTCGGTATGTGGATTTTGTAATTTTGTCAAATATCCATGTATCTAAACAAAAAAACATGCATCTAGAGACTAAGAGAAAAACAGTGAAAATTGAAAACAAACAAACCCCACAAAAAAGTCAGTCAAAACTCCAGATGTCGTCTGCAGTTAACCACGTGGGGGAGGTGAGGAAATTACAAAGACTTTCTTTGCCTTTTTGTGTACAAATACGTCATGCGTGACGGTTTAAACACCGTCTACACCGGGTCCCTTATTTTGGGGTATTTGACCATGAATCTCAATTAGTCTCCAGGTCCACGGTTTACACACAAACAAGCATAGCCAAAACGAGTTGCAAAAAAGTTGTTTTTTGTCTTGTTGTGTGGTCAGTGTTCGGAGAAGGAGACAACTGTCAAGTTTTAAGTTCACCCACAACTACACACGGAGCACCCACGTCGAAACCAAGTCTTCATCATGTAATCAATGTGGTTCATATGCTTGAGAATGGGACGCACAACCATTTCTGTAGCTGAGTAGGTTCTTGTCTTTACTCCCTTGTTCACATTTTGGGATTTTAATTGTTGTTTGTCAATATACACCGACTCATTTGGAAGATGTGACAGTTTATTTAGAAATAATTATTTCTCCAGAGATTTTAGCAGAGTTTTATCCGGTATATCTTGTTTAATTACAAGGGAACATGAAAATGTCTAGCACATAATACACGTAATCAGAGATATAGACGGTTTAGGCGTTCTATAAATATATATATATATATATAGATGTAATATATTATTTTTTGTCATAGGTATTCATAACTTCGTATGAAAAAATAAATATAAGTTTCAAGAAAAACTGTTTATGTAAAAAAAGAGAAGAGCACTCGAGGTAACCAAGATGATATAAAATTTGAATCTGTATTCTTTAGTCTCGTAGTGTCATATTCATAAACTTTCGTCAACCTTAAATACCATTTTTTCAATTGTCAACTTTAATATAAATTAGATCTTTGACCCGCACAACCGTGCAAATTTTTTTTTAAATACTAAAATATTTTAGATTATAAATTAAAAGTTATCCATAATTCAATATATTAATATAATTTGATATTATGCATTATCTAACTTTATAATAATTTTTCTGTGGCTTATAATATTACTACGATAAACTTATAATTTTGTATTTTGTTATAAAAAAGTAAAAACATTCTTATGTAATAGTAACAATTTTTTAATTATAAATTTGAAATATATGTGGAAATTAAATTAGAGATGGACTTACATAATGGAGAAGCAAATTTTTAGTATAATGTGAAACTTAGTTTTCTTAAAGTTAATTATTGTTATATATCAAAAATAGAATTATTTTTAATTATATTTTATCATAATTAAAATTTGAGTTAACTAATTTTCAAAAATATATTTTAAGATCTAAAAGATTTTAGAAAATATTGTTAGAATTTTTAAAAAAACAAAGATTTTTTTTTGTTTTAAATAAAAATTAAAAATATAAAAAGATATTATCATGACATTATGTAATATTTAATAATTTTTTAAGGATAGTCCAAATTGAAAAATCACACATGAAATAAGTTATAACTTTTGTTTTAATATAATAGATAAATAAATATTATATTTGTGAATTCAACATAATATTTTTTCTCTCTTTTTTTTGTCAAATAGTTTTTCTCTCTAATATTTGTACTTTAGAGTTTAGACCGTACAAAAGGTATACGAGACAACATCACTTTGGTTATAAAATATAGGGTTTTTAGTGATTAATCTCCCAACTAAAGATTTTTCGTAAATAATCCCCTCAAGTATTTATCTTGTGTTTTAATCCCCGAAGTTCTATTCCGTTAGTGTTCGTTACCCTCTGTGAACAGTTTCGTGATTTATAGACGGAGTCCGTTAATCTACAACACAGTGTTTCACTGCAACCAAAAAACAACGTGATTTCTCTTCTCTTTCTCTTTCCCTTTCTCTTTCAAACGAGAAAGAAAAAACAACGAGTTCAAAATCCCAAATCAAAAATTTAGGGTTCATCTGTCTGGCGCGAAATCAAGTGAGATTTAGGTAAATCTGAAAGATTTTCAATATGTATTGTAGTGTGAAGATAGATTTCGCCTAAGTCAAAGTTGATTAACTGTGTTTCGGCTTTGTCTTACAGAGTGAAGAGTATGAGCATCAATGGAGATGACACCAAGAATACTCAGAAACTGCCAGTGGGGAGCTTTGAGCATTGTTTTAACATCAACAACAAGTCGCAACCCATGAAGAAAATTCTATTGTTGTGGAGCAATCTCTGGTCCAAACCACCTATTTAAATTGTTTGATGAAGCTCATCTTGAAGAGTTTGATGTTTTGGCGAGCAAACAAGAGACAATTATCAATGATTTGGCAGAGATAGAGCAAGACATTGCTGATCTGAAGAATGATATGAGGGAGATAATTGAAGTGATTGAGCTTATTAGGACTAAGCTTTAGAAATTTAAGTTATCTTGGTTTGGTGGTGTCTGTAGGATGGGTTATTTGTGTTCGGTTAACAAGAACTCAGGTTTGAGATGTCTTTGTATGATGGGTTGTTTGTGTTCAGTATGAATCAAGGTGTCTTTATATGATGTATTCATGTTTAAATTAATCTTTGTATGAATCTTCGAAGGTTTCTAAAAAGACCAGACCATAAGTTTCATTCAATATTAAGTTAAAGTGATGTCTAAAAGAATAATACTAATTTTAACCGGGGCTTCTAGCTCTAGTGGTAAAGGGCTTACAGTTGTGAGTACCGCCACCTGGGTTCGAATCCCGGCAACTGGGGAATTAACATTTCGGCGTCGCCAGGGACAGAGGACCGACACATGGCAACACGTGACTAGTCTGGATCATTTTTGTGAGGCCAGGATACCTCTGTATAATTCAAAAAAAAAACAATACTAATTGCAACAGCAGAGAACAATAACAGAAATACTACTACGCCAAATGAAACACTACTCCATGTTTGTGTCTTCAATGGTCTTCTGTTTCTTTGATGGTCTTCCAGGAGGTTGACTAGAGGGTTTAGGCACCGGCTCGAGTGTACATTTACGCTTGTTGTGTCTGGTTTGTCGATAGTTTCTACATGTCTACAGAATAAAATAAGTGAAAGGAATCAATACATGTCTAGACAACAAAATTATTGAATCACAAAATCTATTACCATGACTGTTTTCCTATGAAAAGAAGGAAAGAGTGGAACCGGCTTTGGTAGTTTAGGCACAAGCTCTTATGGGAATATCCGTATGTTATGACCCGTTTGTAAGCAGTTGCTGCATATCTACATCATAAATGAAATATTATAGAAGCATCAGAAATGAAATATTTATAAAAGCAAGAGACTAATTACCACTATAGCTTTTTGAGAATTTTGAGAAGACTGAAAAGGCTGAAAAGCTGCCTCGGATGGGTCTCTAACACAGTCATTGTTCATAGGTCTTCCTGGCATAATCCTGTCCGGTGGAGGCATGACAACAACGTCACTGTGAGTATCCCACAGTTCCATTCCATTCACAGGAAATACGAGTGAGCTGTAACACTGCTTCCACTTCTCCACAGAAAACCAATCTAAAACCACTGTCTCTGGAAGCTTTGTATCCTTAAACTCTTCCCACATTGCACACATAATGTGACAAAACGAAATGCCACTCACATCATACTCTTTTCAAAAACAACTAGTCTTATCTCAAACATGTACCACATACTTGTTTCTCCCATAATTTACCTCGTAAATACCTCTTCCATTTGACATTGGCCGACACCATTTCAAACCTTTCTTCCGCTTCTCTATTGTAGTCAGCGCTTTAGGTGTGATACTGGTAGTTACACTATACATCTCTTTGATTTTTACCAAGTTACTTTCCATAATATGTCTTCTTATGTCTTCAAGATATCCAACAATTGGTTTCTCACGAGCTAATTTCAAGACAGCATTGTAGCTTTCACTGATGTTATTTTCTACATTAGCAGACTTTGTGATGTCATTGAAAAAGGCCCTGCAAAAAGAAGAACCTAAATTAAACCCGAAATAGAACCTAAAATAAAATAACAACAAAGATCTATTGACCGAGACCAGTTAGCACCCACAGTTTTCTTCAGTTCCTCATAAGCCTCAAGTTTTATGGTCTTCATCTTCTCAATCTGTTTTTAAATACTTGTTCATTATATGCGTGTGCATACTTCCAAAAGACCTTATGTAAAGGTCCCATTTGCTTGTATCTTTTCTGCAAATTGGCAAATATGTGTCTTGCACACATCCTATGTTCTGCGTAAGGCAAAACATTTTTGATAGCATAAATCATCCCCTTCTGCTGATCTGAAGATACAGCCACACCATTACCCTCTTCCAAGTCCAAATCATTTTGCAATAGCTCCACAAACCACTCCCAATAAATTTTTTTCTCCACCGGAACAACCGCCCATCCAATAATATACATGGCATCATTTGGATCTCTTCCAACATCAGTCAAAAGTATCCCTTTCATTATTGCTTTTAGAAATGTACCATCCAAGTGGATCACTCGACGACAAGCACTCTTCCAACCCATTTTCTAAGATGCAAAACAAGTGTAGAACTTATCGAAAACTCTATCTTTCGTACCTAAAATCACGGTTGACCCATGATTGGTTTTCTGCAGCTCCTCAACATAGTCATACATTCTTGTGAACTGTTCAGCATATTCATCACTGACGATGTGTTTCATAATCTGTCTCGCACTCTGACATTTCATTTTTGTAACCCAAAGACCATTAAGACCCAGCCTTTGTTGAATTTGCCCAACTGATAGCTTTGGATTTGTCCTAAACTCATTGATATAATCAACAGCTATTTTCGGTGCACTATAGAGGTTAACAACACCAATAGGATAACAATTATATTTTCCTTCAATTGATCTCACAACCATCTTGTCTGACCTGCTGTTTATTGATACATATACACGCCATTTGCAACACTCTTGAACTCAAACCGCTTGTATTTTCTTCTTCTCACACTTCTTAAACTGTATATTCACCTTCTCTCTCACAACATATTTCTCAAATGTCGCCTTACACTTCTCTTTCGAATTAAACTCCTGACCTACATAAAAGTCTATCTTATCACCATCATCATCACCATCTGATCCATCACTAACCATTATACAACATATATTATTCAGTGATTAGAAGTATTTATGTCCCACCTAATATTTGGGCTAAAATGGGTTACGAATACAAATGTGTATCCAAAAAAGTGGCCCAGTTTCATTTGGGTTAACATCAAACGAGTAAAATATATTCAACGGTTTCTCTCTTTCTACCTCTTCTACAAGCAAAACCTGCTCCACGCTCCTCCACGCGCAGCTTCTCCTCCTTTGGTTTCGTCCAGACCCAGACCGAACCTCTCTGTCTTTCTTATTACATGAGTTCTGTCGCCTCACTTCTATGCTTCTCTAGATGCATCTTGTCCTTCCAGGTTTATCCTATATATTGTTGTAGCACACCATTTGTTCGATAATATGCCTCAACGAAACTTCCGTTTTTTGTTTTGTTCTCAACTTTCTTTCTTTCTTTCTTGATTTGATTTGATTCTCAGACGGAGAAGCTCAGTTGGTTGTTGAATTTTCGCTTTCATGGATCAAACTCATAGTGAAACAATAATCAAAACCGATTATTTCCCCTGCGAATCATCATATGCCGCTTACTGTTTATGCCGTCTTCTCCTTACCGCGGTCTCACTGTAACCGAGCTTCGCAAGTTCGTTCCCAAATCTTGGAAACAACAGCCACCGAGACACAACATCGATGAAACTTCAGTAGTTCTTCCGGTTGCTCTGTTCAAATCTCTCATCTCCCAAGGTCGTCTCTCTGAAGCTTTCAGAGCTTTCTCTCTTCTCCTTGGTCGTCGTCACCAGTCTGGTTCTCATGAATTGGTTTTGCAATCTGCTGCTTCCCTTTTATCTACTTGCGTGGAGCTTAACGAGTTTCTTCCAGGGCAGCAGATTCATGCTCATTGTATCTCCTCAGGTCTGGAGTTTGATCATGTTCTGGTCCCAAAGCTTGTTACTTTCTACTCTGCCTTTAATCTCCTTCATGAAGCTAAGACCATTACTGAGAGATCTGGTGGCATTTTCCATCCCTTGCCGTGGAATGTGCTCATCGGTTCTTATGTTAGGAACAAACGTTTTGTTGAGGCAGTCTCTGCTTACAAGCGAATGGTTAGTAAAGGAATTAAACCTGATGCGTTTACTTACCCGTCTGTTCTCAAGGCCTGTGGAGCGTTGCTTGATTTTGCATCTGGAAGAGTGGTTCATGCCTCCGTTGAGGTTAGCTCTCACAGGGGGAGCTTGTATGTATGCAATGCGTTGATATCTATGTATACGAGATTTGGTAATGTGGATATTGCGCGGAAATTGTTTGACATGATGTCTGAAAGGGATGCTGTCTCGTGGAATACATTGATTAACTGTTATGCTTGTCAAGGCAAGTGGGAGGAAGCTCTTAATTTTTTCGATAGGATGAGTCTTTCTGGTGTAGAAGCGACTGTTGTAACTTGGAACACATTAGCTGGTGGTTTTCTGCAGAGAGGAGACTATGTAGAGGCTTTGCGTTTTGTCGCTAAGATGAGAAATCACAATGTAAGTTTAGATTCTGTAGCTATGATTAATGGTTTGAAGGCATGCTCGCATATTGGAGCGATACGGTGGGGTAAAGAGTTCCATTGCCTTGCGATACGTAGCTGTTACTACGCTGGTGGAATCGGTGGTAACCTTGGAAACTCGTTGATCACAATGTACTCAAGATGTGGTGATCTTAAGCACGCCTTTATAGTGTTTCAGCAGATGGAAGCGAGTGATTTGAGTAAATGGAACTCTATCATCTCTGGTTATGCGCACAACGAGAGATCAGAAGAAACATGTTTCCTGCTCAAGGAGATGATGCTCGCTGGCTTTCACCCAAATCACGTCACTCTTGCAAGCATTCTCGCGCTCTGTGCTAGAGTGGCAAACCTGCAACATGGGAAAGAGCTGCACTGCTACATCCTGAGGCGCCAAAGCTGCTTCAAGGACAGCTTAATCACGTGGAACTCTCTTGTTGATATGTATGCAAAATCCGGAAAAATGGGAGCTGCCAAGCGGGTATTTGAGTCGATGAGGGAGAGGGATAAAGTGACATACACTTCTTTGATAGATGGATACGGTATGGTGGGTAAAGGAGAAGTAGCCTTGGCGTGGTTCAAGGAAATGATCAGATCCGGTGTTGAACCTGATCATGTAACCATGGTTGCAGTTTTATCAGCTTGTAGCCATTCTGGTTTAGTGAGTGAAGGAGAAATGCAGTTTAAGAAGATGCAGTATATGTTTGGTATAGTCCCTCGCCTTGAACACTATTCTTGTATGGTTGATCTCTACTGCAGAGCAGGTCTGCTTGTTAACGCCAGAGATGTAATCCGCAGAATCCCTTACGAGCCGTCTCGTGCTATGTGTGCTACTCTGATAATAGCTTGTTTGGTCCACGGGAGCAAGGACATTGGTGAGTGGGCTGCAGATCTGCTACGGGAGATGGAGCCAGTGAATTGGGGACACTGTTTGTTGATTGCAGATATGTATACAGCTTCTGGTTCTTGGAGCAAGGTTGAAGAGGTGAAGAGGTTGATGAGTGTGCGAGTTGCTCATCATGAGTTTGCTTTGGTGGAAAGAGGACTGAGTAAGCCAGTGATTGATACTGTTGGTTCTTCTGCTATCAGTCCGGAGCAAAGTTCAGACGAAGAGCGTCTTGTAGAAGTAGGATAAAGTTTAAGTTGGTCTTGAGGTTTCTAAATATGTTACTTGAAACAATATACACGATCTAATAAGATTACTATTTTTACAACTTACCAGGAAATCTATTTTTCGAGTTGTGGATAAAACAATTGTGAACAATATTGCAGATTGGTGCTGATAAATCTTTTTAACATGATGCTAGTAGAACCTGTGAAATGTTTAACCCGTCAGTTCTTCATAAGTTTATAGGTTAAGGTGGTGTAAGTTAAGTTTATAGCATCTTCAAACTATATTATTGTCTTTTAGAATAATATTCTAAAATACGTCTATCAACCATATAAGATTTGTCTTTGAACTGTACGTGACAATACTAAATATATCATGATTAATGACAAATCAACGTTTTCTATGAAGGAAAATCATACGTAATTAAAAAAATAAATAAAGTTAACAATTAAGTAATCTATAAACATAAGAAATACTTAAACTTGAAAAACAACAGTGTTTAAACTTCAAAACAAATTTATTCTTAACCAAACTTCAAATGCAATGTCAATCATCATAAGCATTAATATTAACCAAATAAAAATTATATATTAGATTAAGTGTTTGAGTTAATTATTCATGTACTAATTAATTATCGTAGGTACTCAATAATATCTTAGTGTGTTTTGGAAACATATTAGAATTTGAGATTTAATATGCAAGTTTTTCTGAAATTATAAAGTTTCGGTTTTTTCGGATATCCATTTAAGTTTGGATACGGTTCGGGTAAAACATATGACCCGAAATACCTTAAAACAAGATCCATTATTGGGTTCGGATTCTTTTTATCAGATCGGGTTCGGTTCAGATTTTTGGGTTCGGTTTTTCTATCCAGCCGTAGTTGCTATCTTAGCATATCTTATTATATAAAGCTTGGTTTTCAAAGTTACCAATTAACATGATCGCAACACATGTCGATTATATATTTAAGATTATGACATGTGTTAAATAACAAATTTTCTTTTAAAAACTTAAACCAAAAGAATTTAATAGTTAGTTTTACTTTTTAAAAAATCTTAAACATAAACTTTAAAAGAGTTAGTTTCCTTTTTTAAACAATCTTAAAGAAAAACTGTAAAAATTATATTTACATATAAATAATAATTAATAATAGTATTTTTAAATGTTACTAATTAAGATGATTATGAAAGAGGGAAATAACATATTTAAGATTAGGACATGTGTTAAACAACATGTTTTATTTATAAAAAAAAAATCAAACCAAAAGAATATAAAAACAATCTAAAAAGTTAACTTTCCTTTTTGAAATTCTTATACAAAAAAACTTTTTCTAATATTTCCATATAAAAAACGTTTAAATGCTCAGGATAATGCAGTCAGACGTGAAGCCGCATAAGGCATGTAGAATTTTCGGCTATAATATCGTCTATGTAATATTTCTCATAATGCATAATTAACCAGTGTTAAAAAAATATTTCCATATAATTAAAATTTTAACAATGGTATTTATTTTTTAAACATGGGTTTAAGATAATTACAAGCTTGATTTTTTAAAGTTGCTAATTGATATGACTGCGATACATGGCAATTGTATATTTAAGATTATGATATATGTTAAATAACAGTTTTCTTTAAAAAAAAACTTAAAAAAAAGAATATAAAAATAGTCTAAAAAGAAAATTTTCCTTTTTAAAAAATATTAAACAAATAAACTTTTTTAATATTTCTATATAAATAAAATTTTAACAAAAGCATTTCTTTTCAAAAACATGGTTTAAGATAACTAACACTAAATATTATTTTAAGATAAATTTCTATACAAATTAAAATATTTACAAATATTTTTATTATAAAAATTTAATAGTATTTTTCTTGTTAAAATTATTAAACCAAAGAGAATTGTAATATTTTAGATGAATATAGCCAAACGTGAATACATATAAAGAATGTAGAAGTCTTGGATATATAAACTTTTATTTTTTAATATATTCATATAAATAAAATTTTAACAACAGTATTTCTTTTTTAAAACATGGGTTTAAGTTAATTACAAACATAGCTTTTTAAAGTTGCTACTTATAAGCATGATCCCGACACAATGCAATTTTATATTTAAGACATGATATGTATTAAATAATATTTAAGACATGATATGTATTAAATAATATTTTTCATTTAAAAAATAAACCAAACGAATCTAAAAATAACGTAAAAAGTTAATTTTCCCTTTTTGAAACCAAAATAATTTTTTATAATATTTCTTTTTAAATCCTGACAAAATATAATTATATAATTAATATTTTTTTAAGAAGTTGATGATACACATAATACCAAAGCCAGTTTAACTAACAAAATAAATTGTAAAATATGTAGAGATATTAAAAACGATTTGAAAAAAAATCCACTTTCAAAAAACTATTTGTTTACTGAAATAATTATTTTACTAATAATTATTTTAAATCCTAATCAAAATATAATTGTAATAAATTATGTATAGTAGTATTTCTTTTCTAAAATCATAAAAAGAAACCATAAGAAATTTTGTTTTTGTAATAACAAGTTTCCTTTTTTAAATCCTAAACAAAAGATATTTGAATTATATATTTTGACACATGTCATTATATAAAACTTGGTTTTCAAAGTTGCTAATTAACATGATCGAGGACATATGGCGATTATATATTTAATATTATGATATGTGTTAAATAATAGTTTAAAAAAATTTAACTAAAAGAACTTAAATTTAGTTTCCTAAAACAAATTTTAAAGGGTAGGAAGAGGAGACCCTTTAAATTCACAAATGCCATTGCCACAATGCCGGAGTTTGGTCCCTTGATAGAAGAGTTTTGGCAGGATCATGAGCCGTTATTCCACTCCACTTCAGCCATGTTTAGACTTACTAAGTATCTTAAAGGGTTAAAGCAGCCTCTTAGATCACTAAGTAAGTTGAAACTGGGGGATCTTTCTAGAAGAACGAGGGAAGCATATCAGCGTTTATGTATTTGTCAACAGGAAACTATGGTGAATCCTGTTACAGAAGCTATAAAAGAGGAAGTTAAAGCTCATGAACTTTGGCAGAGACTGGCTGAACTAGAGGAGGTTGTGCTTAAGCAGAAGTCTAAATTGCATTGGTTGGATATTGGTGATGGAAACAATAGAGCTTTTCACAATGCTGCGAAAATCAGAGAGGTCAGAAATGCAATCCATGAGATACAATGTTCTAATGGTGATATTGTGAAAACGGATGATGGGATTAAAGAAGAAGCTGTGAGGTTTTTTTCTGATTTTATGACAGTCAAGCCGACTGATTTTGAGGGTGTAACGGTAGAGAGACTGCAAGAGTTGATGGGATTTCGTTGCAGTGATATGGATTGTGCCAAATTGATGAAAGAAGTTACGAAGGAAGAAATTACTGATATAATTTTCAAAATGGCAGGTAGTAAAGCTCCAGGTCCTGATGGTTACACAGTAGAGTTCTTCAAAGAGGCTTGGCCAATAGTTGATAATGATGTGGTTATAGCAGTGCAGTCTTTTTTCATTTTGGGTTTCCTCCCCAAGGGGTTGAACTCCACCATTTTGGCACTCATACCGAAGAAGTCTGAAGCAAAAGAGATGAAGGATTACAGACCGATCTCTTGCTGCAATACTTTGTACAAGGTAATCTCAAAACTCCTAGCCAATCGCCTGAAAATTATCCTGCCGAAGTGTATTTCTGTGAGTCAATCTGCATTTATAAAGGAGAGGTTGTTGATGGAGAATGTATTACTGGCTACTGAGTTAGTTAAGGATTACCATAAGGATGATATATCACCGAGATGTGCTATGATGATTGATATATCAAAAGCCTTCGACTCAGTTCAGTGGTCGTTTCTGCTTAATTCGTTGAAGGCTCTTGCGATTCCAGATAAGTTTATCCATTGGATCTCTATTTGTATCTCAACAGCTTCATTCTCAGTTCAAGTGAATGGTGAGCTCGCAGGATATTTTCAGAGTGAGCGTGGATTAAGGCAGGGCTGTTCCTTATCGCCGTATTTGTTTGTCATTTGTATGAACGTCTTATCGAATTTGATTGATGAAGCTGCAACTCAAAGGAGGATTGGGTTTCATCCGAAATGCAAAAACATAGATTTAACCCATCTATGTTTTGCTGACGATCTGATGGTTTTTACGGATGGAACAACCAGGTCTATTGAGGAGATACTGCGAGTCTTTGATGCTTTTGACAAGATGTCTGGTCTTAAAATAAGCCTTGAGAAGTCGACCTTATTTCTTGCTGGAGTATCGGATCAAAAGAAAGCTGAGATCATAAGTCATTTCCCTTTTGCCACTGGAAAGCTCCCGGTACGTTATCTAGGTCTTCCTCTTTTAACAAAGAACATGACTGTCCTAGATTACTTACCTTTAGTTGAGAAAATTCGCAAAAGAATTGGATCATGGACAGGAAGGTTTTTATCATATGCGGGGAGACTCCAATTGATAAAATCTGTGATCACTAGTCTTGCGAACTTTTGGATGGCTGCTTTCCGTCTTCCAAGTGGTTGTATTAAGGAAATTGAAAGCTTGTGTTCTTCCTTCTTATGGTCGGGACCTGCTTTGAATGCTAGGAAAGTAAAAATTGCTTGGAAGGAAGCTTGTAAGTTGAAACAGGAAGGTGGGTTGGGATTGCGATCATTAAAAGAAATGAATGTTGTGAGCTGCTTGAAGCTTCTATGGAGGGTTCTCTCTTCTAACTCGGTTTGGGTGAACTGGATAAAAATGTACCTTATTCGAAAAGGTTCAATCTGGACGATTAAAGAGAATACTCTAGCAGGCTCATGGATGTGGAGGAAAATCCTTAAGTGTCGAGATCTTTGTAAAACCCTTTACCGGGTTGATATAAGGAATGGAAGGAAGACTTCCTTTTGGCATGAAAAGTGGTCACCTCTTGGTTGCTTGCAGGATGTAGTAAGGCAAGGGGGTAGTATTGAAATGGGTATCACATTAAATGCAAATGTTGAAGCAAGCAGAAGTCATCGTCGGCGAGATCACAGAGTTCAGCTATGGAACAAAGTTGAGGATGAGATCGAAAGATACAAGCTCAACTTTGTAGATGAGGAAGATATATCATTATGGAAGAGAGAGTCTGGTCATTACAAAAAGGTTTTTTCAACCAGTGAGACTTGGAGGAT